TATGAAAATGCCAGCACTCACATGGAGAGGCAGTCCCACGAAACTGTGGAGCGCACCGCAGTTTGCTTGCAACGTTCCTGGTGCAATTCATCCCTCACTAAAACATTAGGCATCCTGGTAGATTAAGAGGATAGTCACAATAGCAGGGCTGCTGTTACCTGGGTGCTTGGCATGCACTTTCACATTTAATCTTGTCAAGGACCTATGATGCATGCCCTATTAACATTCCCAATTAACAGACCAGGAAACTGAGGTTCAGAGCAGGGCAGAGGCCCAGCACATACTGGCAACAAGTGTCAGACTCAGGATGCCACTCATTAACTCTGCCCAGTCAACAAGGGCTCACATTGGCACACAGTAAGCCCTCTGGATATTTTCTGGATTGGATACAATCCTCTAACTTGTCCAAGGGGAGCAATACTTTGGTCTCCGGCTTTGGTCTTTAATAAGATCCCAATATTGGACTCTGGTTCTGGTCTTAAGGACACAGAGCTGCCATCCTCTGTCCAGAAGCCCTTGGCAAAGGTCTTATCCTAAGAACTGATGCTTGAGACCCTCATGCCCACCTGGTTCCCCACCTCAGGAAGACCTAGACAGACCCTTTCTGTTCCCTGAGAGCAACACTTGGTCTGAAAAACTGATCTTGTTTCTGTCTGTTTGCTTCTGAAATTAAAACATGAAAATCCACAGGAGGCTCTCAGGTTCCCACTGAGACCAATCGGCGACATTTTCAAACATGATGAGCTGTTTGTCAACTACGTGTTCTGGGGCAGAGGATGGGGGAAGGCTTTGGAAAGTGCCAGCAGCCTCCGGCAGGGCTGCTCATCTGCAGTCTGCAGATGGAGACCGTTACCTAGGTGGGGCCTCTCAGGGTCCCCCCAGCCCTGCTTATGTCTCTGGAGCCATGTGTGTTCAGACACATGTCTTTGCTGTACGTGCTGACACTGGCAATGGTGTAGTGGTGGGGTGTGAGGCACTGACTTCAGGTCAGGCTGGCTCCTGACCAGATTGTAAATTGCAGGAATGTGTCCTTGGAGTGTCTCCACTGGGGACTAGGCCTAGAATCTCACGTGTTCAGTTTTGGTCACTGAGCTGCTTTGTAATGGCAGGAAATAAACAAAGGGGGATCAATGGAGAAATCCAGGAAGAGAGGTGGGGGCAAATAAGGGAGAATAGGGGCAGGTGAAGTGTCCATTTCCATGGAAAACTGATGAGATTTGGGAGATGGCTGAATTTCGTTATGACTGGGACTCTTTGGAAAGGGTAGGTGATCTTCATTATACAGGAGTCCACTGTATCCTTTAAAAGTATTGGAGAGACACATCAGGCTGAAGGATATTGGCATACCAAATGGAAGATCTTCCCAACAGCATGGCACAGACTCTGCATAAAGAGAGTGAGGCCTCTATCACAGGAAGCATTCAAGCAAGGAAGGAGGGACACCTGCCAGGAATGCTGCAGCAGGCAAACTTCAGAGTGATCCCCACCTCCTGGTGTTCATGCCTTTGTATAATGCCCTGCCCTTGAGTGTGGGCAGGACCTGAGCCTTGCTTCTAGCCTATAAGATATAGCAAAGAGGATGAGCTCTTGAGAATCACATTATGTTATATAAGACTCTGTCTCAGATAAAAGGAACTAGAGATTCTCCTTGTGGACTTGATGAAGGAAGTGGCCCACAGGATAGGATTAGAGATGCCACATGGTTAGGGAATGCAGGCAGCTTCTAGGACCTGGGATAGGGACTCTCAACAGCCTTCAGAAGGCCATGGCCCTCAGTCATACAGCTGCAAGCTAATTAATTCTGCCAACAATACAAATTTGCTTAGAAGCTAATTCTTCCCCTGTCAAGCTTCCAGATGAGAACATGGCCCAGCCAATACCTTGATTGCAGCCTTGTGAAATACTGAGCAGAAGACCTGGTTAAGCCAAGCCCAGACTCCTGACCCACAGAAACTATGAGAAAAATAAATGTGTGTTGGTTTAAGCCCCTACTTTGTAATAATGTATCATGCAGCAATAGAACATGAATCCAGACATGGTGGGGAGGATGCTACTAGTCTGTCTCTATTCTCCTGCTGGACTGGGTTTCCCAGTTATCTGATAACAAATCATCTCAAATAAGTGACTTAAAATTACAGAAACCATTAAGTATCCCTCACAATTTCTGTGAATAGGAATTAGAGGGTGGCCTGACTGGGCAGCCCTGGCACAAGGTCAAGCATGCAGCTGCAGACCTGTCACCTGGGGCAGCAGTTATCTGAAGGCTTGATATGGAATTGAAGAGCCACTCACATAGCTGGCAGTATGGTGCTGGCTGTTGGCAGGAGGCCTTTGTTCCTCTCCACATGGGCTTCTCCATGGGGATGTTTGAGTGTCCTCACAACATGGTGGCTGGCCAAGAGACCAAGGTGGGTGCTTCAGTGTCTTTTATGACTTGGAAGTCACACAGTGTCACTTCCACTGTGTTTAGTTGATCACACAGGACCAGCCTTTATTCAGTATGGGAAGGGACTGCACACAGGTAGGTATGAATAACAGAAGGCAGGGACTCCTGGGGACCATCTTAGAGGCTGGCCACCATGCTGGTCTTCTTTCCCTCCAACTTGCTGCCTGTTTGCTCTACCCCAGCCTTTTGCAAAGACCATTCCCTCTGCCAGGCTCAATCTCTCCCCTACCTTCCATCACCCCTTCAGCTTATCTTTGAGGTCTCAGCAGGAATCAGCCACAGCTTTGTGGGGCCCAAAGTGAATATATTTAAGGGGCCCTCTTCAAGATGGGCCCCAAAAAGACAAAACCATCTTGCTTCAGCAAATTTTCCTAATCACACGACCATTACTAGGGCCCTTTTAGGGCCTCCGGAGGTGCCTGTGTGAACAGAGGGCCCTGAAGCTTCGTCTTCACCAGGATCACAGTGAATTCTCCTCACTTCCTCAAGAAGCTCCTCCCAATTTCTAGGCTGAGTAACCTCCATTGCTCAGTCTCTCTGCATGTCACCTGTATAATTAGGCATTTAACATCTCTTTTGGCCACCAGGAACCAGGTCTTATACAAAAACTCTTTTTATGTACTTGCTGTCAGAGAATGATCTAAATGCCATGGACACAATAGAGAACCAGGGCCAGACAAGGTCCCTGCCATCCTGTAATCTATGTTCTGGTTGGGGAGAAAGGGGCAATAAATATAAAACAAGAAAAAATGTAAAAGATAAGTTCAGCTAGAGACGGGTACAATGGAGAAAGTGAAGCAGGGCAATGAGAGATCAAAGACAGCCTCTCTGAGACCAGGATGATGAGAGGGAAGATCTAGGGAGGTAAGTGTTCCTGGAAGGGGGAACAGCAAGTGCGAAGGTGCTGAGGCAAAAACAAGACTTGGGTCTTTAAGACTGAGCAGAGAGGCCAGTGTGGCTGAGCTAGTGACCAGGGGGAGCAGGGGCAATGAGGACAGAGGGGCAGGTAAAGGACAGACCAGGCAGGACTTTGCAGAATAAGCAAGAAGTCTGAATTTTATTTTTATTAAGGTAAAATTCACATACCATAAAAGTAATCGTTGTAAAACATACAAGTCAGTGGCATTTAGTATCTTCACAATGTTGGGCAACCACAACTTCTGCCTCATTCTGGATTTTATTCTAAGTCAACTGAGACACCACTGGAGAGTTCTGAGCAAGGGGTTTAGCAGTGTTAACACGTGCTCATCCCAGAGGCACCCCATCCAAGGCTACATGTGGGAAGGCGAGGTGTGTTTCCGCCAGAATTTCCCCAGGCCATATCCTCCTTCCTTTTCTGGAAACAAGACCCCAAGATATCTGATTCCCTTTTCCTCAAACTCTTTGTTCTCTGCTCTTCAGAGTAAGCTAGCTAAGGTGGGGGAATGGCAGAAGAGGGCGGGGGGGGGAGAGGGGGATGGGCTTTTAATTTCCAGCTGCCTGCTGCTGTGATTAGGCCAGCAGAAAGGACTGAGGCTGGCGGCTAATGGGGGGTTGCTCCTGAGGATTCAGAGTTCCTGATTTTTTCCCTCACAGGGACAAGAATTTCTAGTGGTGTTCAGCCCTGTCTTCCACCCCGGTGATGCACCTCAGAGCCTGGGATACCAATCTTTCATAGACCACAGCCTTAACTGCTCCCAGCAGCTCTGATTCTCTGAACCATTGCCAGGGCCACAGGTCCCATTCTTTCCATCTTGTGGAGGGTAAATGTGAACACTGCCTGGGTCTGAATCCTGCCACTGACACTTGCCAGCCACACAAGCTTGGACAAGTGCTCAAATTTCTCCACGCCTCAGCCTCCTCACCAGGAAATAGGGACACAAACAGTCCGTGCCTCTTAGGGGTGATGCGAGGGTTAAATGAGGTAATGCAGGTGCATGGGGTGCTTGTAGGAGAGATAATAAGCTGACGCGGGCATGCAGTGGGCATGTGTGAGAGATAATTAGGTAATGTGGGCACCGGTAGATGTTATGTCAGTGTTCACTTAAGAAGAAAAGAAAAGGCAAAAAGAACACAAGATAGAACTCAAAATGTTACCAGAGGCTTTGAGGCTGGAAATCTGAACATTTGTGTGAAGTCAAGAGATTTTTAGAAATGTAGTTGGCAACTAGTTTAAATTTATTCTTAAAAACCCGGTAGCCCCCAAAAGCCACCTCCCTGCCAGGCAGATGCTGTGATCAACCCAGGACCAAGGGCTTCGGGCTGCCTGTCCTGAATCATTTCCACTTCAGCTGTACAAGACTACTGTTCTATCTTTTCTGAAACATCTTTATGCTCCAGGTTTCCATGAGCTTGCTGAAAATGTTGTGGTGTGTCTACTATGTGTTAAGCGCATAAGCAAAATAAACTCATCAGAAGCCTAAGAGGGAAGTATGTGTCCCATTGCGTGGAGTAGCAGACTGAGGCTCTGAAAGATACAATTCTTTTGCCCACCATCTCCCAGGCAGTCAGTTTCCAGCAGAAATTTGAACTACTATTTTCTGTTCACCTCACACCTTCCCAAATTGCCTTTCAGGCTCCAGGCAGGCTGGTCTGTCCATCCCAGTGGTCAGTCTGACAGGCAGAGGAAGCAGGAAGAACTGACCGATGAGGAGAAAGAAATCATCAACAGGGTGATCGCTCGAGCTGAGAAAATGGAAGAGATGGAGCAGGAGCGAATCGGGTGAGGTGACGCTTCCCATCCACCTGAGAGCCGCTGAGGCCGGAGGGTGTGCTGGGCTGGAACAGGGCTGCCTCTGGGCTTTGCCATTTGTGACTTACGGAGCCACCTCCTGCCCCCTTTCCCACTGGCAGACATGGGTTCCTTATTGAACAAGGTGGGAGAATTGGGAGAACAGAAAGGGGCTAGAGGAGAGAGTGGGATGCTGGTGAGAGGTTCTTGGCTGGGGGTGCATTGAAGAAGGGGCAGGGGAGGGGTCTTGTGATACAGAAAGGGGAGATTGTCATTGGAGGCTGCAAGAAGTGGTGTGGGTGTGAGCATCAGGTGTCTCAGCTAATCACAGCTGCATAGGGATGTGCTCCAGAGATGATAGCCACGTAGGTGTCAGAAGGGACAGCCGAGGGCAAGTTAGGAGGACAGGGAGTAGGTGACAAAGAGAGTGTGTAAAAGAGAAAGCATGTTTGAAATGAGTTATATAAAGCAGTTGGAGAACCCAGTCCTGTAAGAGTCTGACAGCATGTGAGCGAGGAAGCAGAGGTTAACAGGATAGGTCAGGACTCCAGGAACCAAGGGGTCCCATGCCAGCTTCCCACTTGCCCGCCCTGGATTTTGGGCATGTTGTTGACCTCTCTGAGCCCCAATTTGCTCACTGGCAGTTTGAGGGAAATAACCATAATTATCTTATAAGACTCTTGTAAGGGCTGAGATGATGCATGCACAGATCCTGACCCAGGCTCTGGTGACACTATGCATTTAATAAATGGTAGGAAGGAGAGGAAAGTGGGGTTCAGAAGGCAGGGATAATGAAAACATGTATGTGAGAGAAGCAAGGGTATAAGAAGGATGTGTGATGAGTGAGGAGATGTGACAAAATCAATGAGCAGGGACAGTACTGGAGAGCAAGGAGTGGCATCGGTGTGGGCTGGAGCTGGGGGAGTGGGGAAAATGTGGGGCATCATCAGGGTGGGAGGGGTGACTGAGAGAAGGGAGTGAGGGTATGTGTTTGGGGGGCTCTTGGTATAAATGGAGACTTTGGCTGCTGGGATACAGAGAGGCCGTGGGAGTCGTCTTCCCAGACCTGAATATCAGGAAATGGGAAGGCAGGATGCTGGGAAATCACCTCCACTTATACCCTCCCCAAGCCCTTCTGCCAGGGGCAGCCATTGCCAACTGTTTACAACAAATTTAGGCACTGAGGTGTCCACTGATCTCCCTACCCAGGTACTCAGCTGGGGGTTAATGAAAAATGATGCTCTGGGGATGCAGGAAGTGGGTGCCTTTGACTCGAGCCTCTGCAGATAATTGCACTCAGGGCAGGCTGGGGAAATCAGAGGTGTCATTGACAAGTGACAAACACCTGCCACAGGATGTGTCAGCTTCACACTTGACCCTCTGTCAGCCTTCTTGGGTGGTTACAACAGGGATAGGTCAGAGGAGCTTGCTTATGGAGTTAGGTTTTGATTTTGCTTTGCTTTTTAGAAGATATTTCGAGTGGAAGGTTCTCCAGGCTGGCAGTGTGTATGTGTGTGCATGTGTATGCATGTGTGTGTGTGTTCGTGCATGTGCATATATGCACATGCATGTGTGTTTACATATGTGTACGTGTGTGTGTTTTCATACAATGATAGGCCTCAGCCATGAGGGAAGGAAAAATATGTATATTAAGGCTGAACAGTGAAAGCAAGAGCCCTGTTCAGCCTTTCTCCTGCATGGCACTGACCACCGGCTATCACATTATATATTTTACATGTTTTCTTTGACTATTGTATGTCTCTCCCCCTTAGATTAAGATTCTTGAGGTAGGCTGGGCGTGGTGGCTCAAGCCTGTAATCCCAGCACTTTGGGAGGCTGAGGCGGGTGGATCACGAGGTCAAGAGATCGAGACCATCCTGGTCGACATGGTGAAACCCTGTCTCTACTAAAAATACAAAAAATTAGCTGGGCATGGTGGCGTGTGCCTGTAATCCCAGCTACTCAGGAGGCTGAGGCAGGAGAATTATCTGAACCCAGGGGGCGGAGGTTGAGGTGAGCCTAGATTGCGCCATTGCACTCCAGCCTGGGTAACAAGAGTGAAACTCCATCTCAAAAAAAAAAAAACGATTTCTGAGGTAGATATTTTTTGCCAGTTTTGTTCACTGCTGTGTTCCTAAGGCCTGGTATATAATAGGTGCACAGGAAAATATTTGTTGGGTGAATGAATGAACATGGAAGATGAGGTTTCTCCCAACTTCTTTCTACATTGCCTGTGTACAAGAGGCTTGGGGTTTATAGTCTTGTCCAGGGTCCAAACTCCCAGGGAAAGTACTCTGACTGGCTAAGGTCAAGGACTGTCCCTTGCCCAATCAGCTGCAGCCAGGCATGCCAAGCCCTATTGTATCAGCCCACTGGGCTGCCTCTGGAGGTCAGGTTACAGAGGTCCTTGTGAACTGAGCAGATCCCAGCTTAAATGATTTAGAACAGGGCAAATGGGGTCCCTGCTTTGTTTTTGATGCCCTGCTGTATTCTCCCTACCAACCTGGTGATGTGGCAGCAGAGCATTGTAGTTAAGAGCTGGGGTTGCAAAGTGAGGGAGGCCTTGGTCCAAATTTCAGTTTTGTACTTACCCCTTGTGTGCCCTTAGATAGGCCACTTTAACCTCCCCGTGCCTCAGTTTCCTCATCTGCAAAATAGGTCTAACATTGTCACATACATCTGGGTATTTAATTAGCATGCAAAGGAATATCATGGTGCCTTATAGAAAGTATATGCTTCATAAATAGTGGCAGTTATTTAATGGTGAGGTTTTGTTTTGTTTTAATGAAAACGCTGATTTTTCATGCTCGCTGAAGCCTTTGTTCTAGAAGTCTGCCCTGAGACTCCTGTTTGGCAAGCCCTGAAATTCTAGCAGCCCCTGGCTTCCCCTAAAGGAGATTTGAGAGGCTTCCAGGGGAGCTTGGGCCAAGTCTTTGGTGACAGAATGTCCCTTTGCTGAGACAATGTGTTTTCTGCCTGGCTTCCCAGAGTGGGGAGGACAGCCCTGGAAGATTCCGGCTGTGGCTGTCCCACAGTGCCCTTCCTGCAGCCAGCCCTTGCGGGCAGCATCACCAGAGGCAAACCCAATGCTATTTGTGTCTTACAAGCTCAAACCTGCCCTGATTCCTGTTCCACCCACACTTCCCTGGGAGGGGATCAGAGAGGAGTCAGATGAAAACCGAGTGAAACAACAGACATGGAGCCAAACTGGAAATGGGGGATGCTAACTGGGGCTCCCATTGCAGAGCGTGAGGATCTCAGTTAGCGCTTGGGACCTCAGTTTCCCCATCCATCGGATGACTCAGTCTCATTCTCAGGATTCTTTCTGCTCAGACTCTACAGTATTTTGGGGGTGTCTGATGAGGGACCTCCTACCCTATTGCTGGCTGTACCTCTCAGTAATGAGCTCCTTTTATGTTAAAATTGCCAACATAGCTGTGTCCCTAACTGGGTCCAGACATCAGCTCCATGATGCTGAATGTTTTCTATTACCTGAGTGAAAGCTATCTGGGAAAGTTATGAAATCACTGTCAATAAACATGATAAATAATCATCATGATGGGTGCCATTTACTGAGCACTTACTATGTGCCAAGCCCAGTGTCTAAACTTCACATAAATTAACTCATTAACTGTTCCTCTCAGCCCTGTCAAGTAAGCTATTATTATCCCAATTTTGCAGGTGAGGAAACTGAAGCTTAGAGAGTTTAGACCATTTGGCCAAGGTCAGATGGAGGCAAGGTACACATCCCTAGTTGGCTGACTCTCAGAACTATCCTCTTAAATCTCTGAGATGTGTTTCCTGAAGATGTGTTCCCAAATTCCTAGGCTCTGCAGAGCATGGACATATTAATTACTCAGGTTTGGAGGGGACATTTTGAGGGCTGGAAGTTGAAACCCCTTCTGTGCTGACCCAATGATTCTTTCTAGCTCTTATTAACCTGTCTGTACCTTCCAAAGCTGCCAGAGCTAATCTGCCTGCTGCTTTGGTTCTGAGAGTTCCAGGAGAGAAATCCCCTCAGCCTTTGCCTTCCTGGGGCAGTTTTGCAAGAGTTAGCTGCCCCAGGGAGTCCCAGGCCATACATAGCAACCCAGAACTGCTTCACTCCATGGAGCCCACGTGCCAGAAGGAGTCTAAACCTTCACTCACCACTCAGCTCACAGCCCAGCTCTGTTCTTTTCAGCATCCCAGGAGGGAGAGATGATGGCCAGAAGAGAAACACATTAACCAACCTCATTTTGCCCCCACATTTCTTATATAAGAGCTAAGTGGGATTTCAGAGTTCATTTTGCATGCCTGACTGCTACAGTCTTCTGTTAGGACACTTTGCCTACGAGAAAGGAAACTAATTCCAGCTAGGTTGCTTCAGTTATATATTACAATGTAACAAACCACCCAAAAGTTTGTGGCTTAGAGCAAAACAATGTATTCTTTTTCATGATTTTTGCAGGTTAAGGATTCAGACAGAGCTCTGCTGGGCAGGTTTTTTGCTCCAGGGGGCTTGGGCTGGGTTTGCTCCCTCAGCTGCATTCAGCTGGTAGTTGGGCTGGGCTGGAAGGTGCAAGAAAGCTTTACTCCCCTGTCTGTACCTTGGTGCTCTCCAGGGAGCCCTGTCTTTGCATTTATCTTTCCTTACTTATTATTTTGGCCTAAACTCCTTTACATGGCAGTTGGGTCCGAAAGAAGCAAAGATAGGTGTTACCTGGTCTCTTAACAGGTAGGTCTGGAACTGGCAGGGTATTACTTCCACCACTTTCTATTGAGGACAGGAAATAGATCCTATCTCCTTATGGGATAAATGGCATGTGTATGCAGAGGAGGAAGACATTGTTGGTGCCTATCTTTATCACGTTCTGCAGAAAGAGAAATTTAATATAAGGGTTCAGAGGTATCTCAAGGGATCTAAGGACAAGAACACAACCTAGCCTCATGAAAAGTCTACTTCTTATCCCACATATTAGAAAATATAGCCACACTAGCTAGATATTCCC